TCTATTTTCTTAATAAAAAATTATGAAACGATGAATATGCACCCCCCTCTCCCCCCCAATTTAAATAAAACAAAAAGAAGAAAATAAAAATTAATTACAACCATGGTCCCAAAAATTTCAAAAAATTACAAATGAGTCCCAAATAAATAATTAAAAAATTAAAACGATAAAAAAAATTCATTTCATCTTCCTCTTTCTCTACCACCACCACCATTCACTACGTTGATTGCGTTCCTGCTTTCATTTAGCCGTTTGTTAGCATTGATTTATGATATCTTTCCTTCTATTTGCAGGGGGGACCCTTTCTTTAAGTTTATTCACATGTGTCCAATTCTTATTCTTTATTGAAGAATATATTTCTTCTCTCATAACTTGCAGTCTAATTTGATTCAAAACAATCAATGACTTCTTCATATGTTAAAGGTTCTTGATTTTCAACAGCTTCACCTGAAACTGCAGCATCTTCTATCAAATTGAGGTATCTGTACCTTAAATTTTGGTTTTACATTGCCCCAAGAGCAAAAGTGAATTTGGCAGCTTAAAGCTTGTATATTCAAATTAAGCTAGTAACCTCGTTCTTTTGCGTTTGGAAGATGTGTGTCAATTTTACAGGCCATGAAAACTGCACATGATTTTCTATTTGTGCAAACATTTTGAAATATTTGACTTAGATAATTCAGAATACCTGAAGAGTCGACTTCTCTTCTTTCCTTTTTTTTTTTTATCCCGATGTGCAACAAATGGTGGGTAATTGAGAATTATTAAAAATGCAAGACAACTCAATTTGAAGAATTCGACAAAATAATTCTTATGTTCTCTTCCGTTAGTAAGACAATCTAAATTTGAGGCAAATAAATGTCAAGCAATGGCTAGAAACTCACAATCCAAGTAGCTTTTTTGTAATCACTCGGAATGGAAAGCAATGGATTGAACTAGGCTCTAGAAGTAGATTACTTGGAGTTATACCTAATCTACTTGGATCAGAAAGTCAGTTTGTATGGCCTAGTTCGATTGAGTCGCACATTGTCGTGTGGCATCTCACCAAGGTGCAGAACAATCATCAAAATAATAATAATAATAAATAAATAAAACATTTATCATTATGAAACTTGAACGAAAACAGAGGCCCTAAGTTTTGGGATATTGCTGAAAAAAGGTAATGTTATAATTACTTTACGTTTGAAATAATGCTAGAACGAGCGCATTACACGTAATGCTGATTTTAATATTTTCCTAAGTTTAGATGGGGTATTATGCAAAAAAAATAAATTAGTTAAAAGCAAATGAATTTCATTTCACACATATAATGGTTGATTATGGAAAAATACAGTAGTAGAGAAAGACCTAAAAGGAAAATAACAAGGCAAAATATTCAAGGTTGAGATCAAGATCCGACCACTTGTCATATTAACCATAATATTGCACAATTTGCAATAGAACCATTATTTAACTTTACATAGAAGTCAAAATTTGACTTTCATTACAAAGAAAATACTATGAATAAGAACAACTGACAATTGACATGGAGCAGGGAGTTGTATCATTTTTCTCACCATGTGAGTGTTGGATGTCAAGGAATTAGGTAAATTCTGGAGGGGGGGAAAAAAGGTTGATGTAACGATCATTTACTGATTGTCACCTCAAAGTCTTGGTTACCATACTCCAGTTGCTCTTCTCGAATTTGCAAAGCTGAACTTTCAACATTTTCACCACAACGATATGCCTCAATCTTCTGTCGTGTTGGAATGTTGCTAAATTCAGAAGGAATCATCTCCAATTTTTCACAATCAAACAAC